AACAACAACATGAGATTTTCAGTGTTTTATCCAACAACACAATTTAAAAGCATCAGTTCTTCTTCTGTCATCCTTAGTCGTTGTCCAACTTTCACACACACAGAAAATAATTGAAATAACCATGGATTGGATCAGGAACTCTCTACGCTTTAAATTGACATCATTATTCTTCAGGACTTTGGAGAGGTTCCTAACAGGAAATTGTTCCAATGTGATATGTGTTTTTTGATTTCTTTCTTTTTTAAAAAAAATTTAATTTAATTTTTAAATTTTTTTGGGGTATACTGTCAAATCTTACAGGTGGAGATTGCCCCCCCCCTTCTCCAGCAGAGCATTTGGTGGATTTGAACCACGAACCTCATGAAATGGAGTGATTCTGTGACTAGAGTGGTGGGAATAAGTGTGTTTGGGATGGCTAGGTTGCCACAGGATAGAACGGCATTTAGAGCTCTTGTACATGGGGTCGCTATGAGTTGCAAACGACTCGATGGCACATAACAATATAACAACAACCTCTGGGGTTGCAGTGCAGCTTCTTACCACTAGGCCACCAGAGCTCCCTTGATTTCTTGACTGATAGTACTAAAGGGAGTTGATTGTGGATCCAAGGAGGGTGAAAACATTTACAGCTTTAATAATTTCTTCATCTATCATGATGTTGCCCGCTGACTCAGTGGTGAGAATTATTGTGAGTTGGGTTTTGTTTTTATGCCGAGAGATAACCCATATTGAAAGTTGTAGTCTTTAACCTTCTGTGGCAAATGTTTCAAGTCCTCCTCACTTTGAACAAGCAAGGTTGTGTCATCTGCATAACGCATGCTGTTGATGAATCTTCCCCTGATCATTCTTCTTCTTCATAACATCTCACTTCTTGAACTATTTCTTCAGCATACCAATTATACAGATATGGAGAAGGAACAGAACCCTTGATTTAAACCATGCAGTATTCCCTTGCTCTCTTCAAACAACTGCCTCTTGGTCTAGGTATAGGTTTTGTTGTTGTTATTTTTAATGTGATTTTAATGAAAGTTTAAAGAAAAGGTGGGTTTTCATTCATTCATTGTTGCACCTTTTCCTCTCTCCCCTTTCATTCCTCCTCCCCTATAAGCATAGGTTTTGCATGAGCACAAGTAAGTATTCTAGGATTTCCATTCTTCTCAATATTAGCTATAATTCATTGTTACTCACAGTCAAATGCCTTTGCACAATAAAAAAGACATATGGATATCTTTCTGGTATTCTCTGCTTTCAGCCAAGATCCATCTTAAATCAGTAACACTATACCTGTTTCCACAGCCTCTTTTAAGTCCAGGTTGAGTTTCTAGCAGTTCTCTGTCAATGTTTTTTTGGTAGTATTCAATAGTATTTCGCTTGGATATGATATTAATGATAATATTATTTCTGCATTCTGTTGGATCACAGTTTTTGGGAATGAAAACAAATGTGGATTTCTTCCAGTCAGTTGACTAGGCAGCTATGTTCCCTAATTCTTGTCAGAGACTAGAAGCATGTTCATCTGTTTCCTGAAACACTTCAACTGGTATTCCATTAATTCTTGGGGCGTTAGTTTTTACCAGTTCCTTCAATACAACTTATTCCTTCATCACCATTGATTCTTGATCATATGTTACTTTCTTATCATATGGTTATATATTAAAAAAATTCTTTTTGCTACAGCAACTCTGTGTATTTCCTCCATCTTCTTGATGTTTCCTGGATCATTCAAGATTTTACCCATTGTGTCTTTCAGTATGGTAACTCTAGGATTGAATTTGCTCTTCAGGGCAAAGAGGTGGTGAAACTGTCACTATATGTAGATGACATGATAGTGTACAAAGAAAACCTCAAAGATTCAACCAAAAATAGTTAAACCAAGTAGACCAGTTTAGTAGAATGGCATGTTATATGATCAACGTATAAAAATTAGTTAAACTAAGGCATCCAAACCTCTGCCTGATTCAAGGAAGTAAGCAATGGCCTACAAAAACAAAACAAAACATAACAGGAAAGAAAACATCTTTTTTGTTCATAGACAAGAAAAGGGATTAAAAAACCTACTGAGCCCCCTTGGATAAGGAATCCGTTTCAGAGAGCCCTACTTCAGGCTGACCTTGTTCCACACCGAGAACTGAGGGGACGGCACATTCATCTAACACCTCAGATGTGGGCTTCGCACGGGCTTCCAGTGCAAACGAATCGACCTCGTCCAGCCTCTCCAGGCATTATGGATTATCTGTCTCCAGAAAAAGAACTCATACGGGAAGATCTTGGCCTGCTGCAATACCACATTAGAGGAGGAAAAGAGGCCATCTTCCAAGAACAACACTCCAGACTCAGAATTCAGAAATTATAAAAGATGATGATGGCAACAAAGATTATCTATTTCATGAACTCAGCACAGAGATTCTGAATAACTTAGCAGATCAGGATCTACAACTCAATCATCTTAAAAACTCCATTACCAACTATTTTGGTGTTGCAGGTGGAATAGCTTGTGGTGAGTTTTGGCTGATGGAATGACCCTAGATGGAAAGATGTGGTATCTTGTGGGACCGGAAGCAGTAACTGTAGGCCGACTGTTCACTGCACACTCATTTCTGTAGCTACAATTAATTCAAAGCCCTAAAGAAGGATCACTTTTTGTAGCTTTTCTTAAAAAGAGTGGAGGTGGTAGGAAGTTAAAATAAAATTACAAAGGGAGGTGATACCAGCCCTAAAATGTGTAGCTGTCAATACTACGGATTTTGTCATGAAAAGATAACTTTTAATAATCAGAACAGAGACTTAATTTTTTTAAATCTTAAAGTCTGTAGAATGCTTTTAAAGATAGGATATTAAAAATGATTCCAACTAAAAAATAAAGCTACAGAAAAAAAATTAAACTTCTATACAGCAACAAAGAAAGCTTGGAAAGGAAACTAGAAAAACAATACCATTTACAATCGCCAACCATAAGATAAAATACTAAGGAATAAACCAAACTAGAGAAAGAAAAACCTTTACAATGCTAAATACTCTGTAAGAAACAATACAAGCCCTCACTAAATGGAAAAACATTGCCTGTTCATGAATAGAAAGACTGAACATTGTGAAAAGGCAGTCTTACCAAAAGCAATCCACAGGTTCAATGCAATCCCAAGACAGATTCCAAATGCACTGCTCAAGCAGATACAAAAGGCAATCTCCAGTTGCATTTGGAAAGGAAAGGGACCCAGAATAAGCAAAGCTCTTCCAAAAACCAAAAATGAGGTAGAAGGCGTGTCCCTGATCACGAAACCTACTCCACAGCTGTGGTCACCAAAACGTCATGGTATGAAAAAAGCAAAACAAAACAAAAATCAGCATGGTATTGGCACAACAACAGACACATAGATTAATTGAATAGAATCAAGAACCCCAAAATCAAGTCATCTACCTATGGCCAACTGATATTTGAGAAGGAAACAAAATCTATTAAATGGGGAAATTACAGCCTCTTTAACAAATGGTGTTGGCAAAATTGGACATTTACTTACAGAAAATTGAAACAGGATCCACATCTCATACTGTTGTTGTTGTTGTTATGTGCCGTCGAGTCGTTTGCGACTCATAGCGACCCTATGCACAACAACCCTAAACCCTGCTCTATCCTGCGCCAACCGCACTGCCTCTGACACACCCAACCCGATTACCCCAGTCCATCAATCCATCTCATAGAGGGTCTTCCCCTTCTGCGCCGTCCCTCCACCCTCCCAAGCATGATGTCCCTCTTCAAAGTGGGTCAGAGGCCAAGGAGTAAACTCCCAAACTTTATATCAAAAGATATGTAAGATTATAGTAAGATACAAAACGAGAACAAATTTAGAAGTTCTAGGCTACATCATAAATTGGCTTGCAAACATAGCAAAAAAATGCACAACCAGGCCAGAATAGAGTCAACGAGTGGAAACTTCTTAAATCAAATCCCTGTGTGCATTAGAAACCTTCTCAAGAAGGGTGAGGAAAATGTCCACAGGCTGGGGCAAAACATTTGGCAACAGCATTTCAGACAAGGGTCTCCTAGAGACTCCTAGCTAATGAAAACATAATAAAATTATTAGAAGTAAAATCAAGATTTTTAAGTAAAATATTTTCATGTTTATGTTGTATATATACATAGATATTTCATCAAAAGATGTGATAACCTCCTTCTCTTCTAGTCTTGCTCTGAAGACCCTACTTCAACTGAACAGGAAATACAAATGTTTTAGGATGATGAGAAAACAATAGTCTGGGGCTAGCAAGCTGGTATTAAAACAGAACTTTTAAAAAAAATAATGGATTTTCTTTCTCTTTCTCTTCTATGTGCTTCTTTCTGTTTGGAGAGTTCCCTTAGACCTCCAGCATTGCCTTTCTGCACCTCAATTTTTCTGGTTGTAAAATGAACATAGTATGAAAAAACTTGTTGCTATTGCATAGGAACCAACTCACAGCTGACTCACTGGACTTTGAAGGCTGTCAATGGCACAGGAAGTGATTGCCCATCTTTCTTCCTCAGAGCTGCTAGTGGATTTAAACATCTCAGCCTTTGGGTTAACAGTGCAATCCTGTATGGAATAGGTCATTAGAATGGCTTTTATATGATAAGATGTGGGGGGGGGGGAAATATAGACACACATAAATTTTTTTCTCTCCTTTCACATGTAACAGACTGACTGAATAGTTTTTTACTTTTCCTCTGCAGGTTCTGGGTTGGTTTGTACAGGTCTGTCTAGGACTGAAACACATTCATGACAGGAAGATCTTACACAGGGATGTAAAAACTCAGGTAACAGTTTAAAGAGAAGTCCAAGAACAAACCCATGTCTTGTTTTCTTAAAATATCTCAAATAGCATTTCCTCCATTTCTAGAACATTTTTCTGAGCAAGAATGGAACGGTTGCCAAGCTTGGGGACTTTGGCATTGCACGGGTCCTGAACAGGTAAGTACTGTCAATAGTTGTTTTCCTTCCTGTTCAAAGCAGCCAATGTATTCATTTTCAGGTATCATAAACTAAGAAAATACCAAGAACTCGATTTTCTTAATAAGTTTTGGTCACTGTTGTTCAGAGGGTCCCTGAGAGTAGCAGCCAACTTGACAACACCTAACAACATTTATGGTCTCGTGTTTCAGTCAGTCGGACTTGTGATGACAACCTCCCCTCTCCCCACATGGCAGCATAGAACTCTGCTCCACAGGTTTTTCAGTAACCAATTTTCTCAAATAGATTACCAGGCTCTTCTTTCAAGTTGCCTCTGATTATACTCAAACCTTCAACCCTTCTTTTACATCTAAGAGCGTTAACTGCACTACCATGAATTTATGTACATACATTAAATCATTAAGATAGCATTTTGTGGTTAAAATTCCTGAGTTAAATTGTGGCACAGTGGGACAATGGTGGCAATGTGGTATCCTGTGTAACGTGTTTATCAACGATGTCATGTGAAAATTCAGGCAGGCTCAGCAATGTGAAAATTCAGTGCAACAGGCAGGCTCAGACATTCTGGTGCAAGTCAACTGATTTTAGGAGACAATTTGGCGCTATTTTATATAAAGAGACCATTAAATATTCCACTTCTGAGAATTTCTTATAAGAAAATAATGTTAAATTTTTGATCACATGAATATCTAATAATTGAGAAAGGGTTAAATAGAAATCTTAGCACAGTCACAGCCGTGATCCTGTTTCTGAACGTTATACACTTAAAAACCTTTATTATTTTCAAGACTTTTAAACAATATCAGAAAATACTTTATGAAATGTTAAATTAAAAAAAATGGAATTTCTTTCATTCAGGTGTAGTATGATTATGTTGTTGTTAGATGCCACTAAGTCGAGGACAACTCACAGTGACCTTATGAACACTTATGATCCGAACACTGTCCTGTCCTGTGCCATCCTCACAATCTCTGACACACTAGAGCTCATTGCCACAGTCACCATGTCAAGCTACCTCACCTGATTGAGGGTCTTCCTCTCTTTTGTTGTCCTTCCACATTCCCAAGCATGATATTTTAGTTATGTAAAAATATGCATGAGGGGGTAAAGTCAGAATTTTAGCAGTAATAGGTTTTAAGTAATAAAACTGTTCACTTTAGTATATTATAAATTTTGAGTAAGATTGAAGTACTTTGACAATTTGAATTGGAGAAATCTTTCTACCACTGAGAAGGTGTTTTTTGTTTTGTTTTGGTTGGGTTTGTTGTTGTTGTTGTTGTTGTTGTTTCAACCTTACAGTTGTGGAGCTTATAAGGGAAATAGGTTGGGGAGTAGGGAAAGCAAATAATATAAAATGCAAGTCCAGGTTTAGTCCAGCAGTCCCAAGTCAGACTCACAACAACACACAATTCCTCAATTAGTGAAGGTCCAGGTTCAATTGTGCAGCACAAATGCACTTCTGGTTTCCTCAATCATCCAGCAAATTTCATCTTAGAGTAGTTATAAGTCAGCTTTTCCTTCAATCATCCAGCAAACAGAACTTTTAACTGTGGCTCCATCTCCAGGGTTCCTCTAGTTACACTTTGCCACAGTCTCTTCATCTCCTCTGCACCATCATCTCTCACAGTATTGTCACAGTTTCCCCCACTACTGTCTCACACAGTGTACAAAGTGTTCTCTTATATTGGTCCCACAGCTGTTGATTATTTGCAAGACCGTGTGTCTAAGTTATGGTAGCTGGAGACCATGCATCCAACAGAGGCTAACACAATGGCTAGAAAAGCGTGTTACATGTTGAGCACTGAGAAGTTTTTATGTTAACATAATTAATTGTATCTTTTTGTGGAGCCTTTAAGCCATTAAGATATATTTTTTAAAATATGTGGATCTTTAGGATGAATTATGAACTTAAAACCATCAACTAATGTGTTACTCTGTTATCAATGTATAATATAGTTTTTGTTGTTGTTATATGCCATTGAGTCACCTACAATTCATACCAATCCTGTGTACAGTAACTCTGAATCCTACCCTATCCTGAGCCAGTCTCATTGTCTCTGACACACCTCTATGCATTATCTTAGTTACTGTGTCAATCCATCTCATATGGAGTCTTCCTCTCCTGTGCTGTCCCTCCACCCTTCCAAGTATGATGTCCTTTTCCAGAAACTGGAGAATGTTTTACCAATTTCAGCACAGATCTGTTTATTCTCTTAATGGTCCATGATATGTTCAAGACTCTTCTCTAGCTCCACAAACCAAAAGCATCCAATTCTTCTGTCAAGCCTAGTCATTGTCCAGTTCTCTGATGCATAGCAAGTAATTGTGAAGACCATGGCTGGAATCAGACACACTTTAGTCTTCATACTGACATCGTTGCTCTTCAGCACTATGGAAAGGTCCCTGAAAGCAGCTTTCCCCAGTGCAATTAGTCTTTTGATTTCTTGACTGCTGGTGCCAAGAGTGTTGATTGTGGATTGTTGGTTCTGAGCAAGGTGAAATTGTTGACAACCTCAATGTATTTTTTTTCTTTATTTTAATCTGTACAAGCATGTTTTAACATACTATAGACTGCCAAGAGAACAAACAGGTTTGTCTGGGAGAAGCTGAAACCAAGTCACTCCTTGGAGGCAAGGATTTTGAAGCTCCATCTCACATGTTTGAGCATTGTGGCCAGAAGGGACGAGTCCTTGGAGAGGGACTTCATGCTTAGAAGGGTGAAGGAATGGCACAGGAGAGGAAGATCCTGGATAAGATGGATTGACACAATAACTGGAGTAATGGGGTAGGTGTTTCAGAAACAGTGAGACCGGCTCAGGATAGGTCAGGGTTAAGAGCTATTGTACATAGGGTCGCTATGAGTTGCGGGTGATTCGACAGCACATAATGACAACAACATACATACATCATCTTTTGTAGTATCTATTTTAAATACTTTTTATTACAGTTCCTTATTCTAAGCATGTTTACGCTCGAATAGTGAACCATATTATTATTTTTATTTACCAGTTCCATGGAACTTGCTCGAACTTGTGTTGGAACACCCTATTATTTGTCCCCAGAGATATGTCAGAATAAACCCTACAACAATAAAACGTGAGTTGCTGACTATTGGTTTGAAAGAACCTGGAAAATCTGATGAGTAATAGTGTACTAAGTTTCTAGAAATTTATTATGTTTCTAATCCCTCCTCTCTTGTGATAATTTTGTCCTTTCATGTGTCAAGCCACTTCAGTGCTCTCAAACTACTGACCCAGTTCTCTAAACGTGGAGATCCATGTGATACAAGCAGCACAGTTTTGTTGACTGGCTGTTCTTGTTCTGTGCCATCGAGTCTGAACCAACCCATCGGTGACCTTCCAAGTGGGTTTACAGCGGCAGTAAATCACAGGAGGAGATTGCCCATCCTTCTACAGAGCAGCTCGTGGATTCAAACTGCCTGCCTTTGGGATTGAAGCACAGCTTCTTACCGCTAAGCCATTTGAATGAACCTTTAGTACTGGAAGATTTAAAAGTCACTATGAGTTGCAAGTGGCTCGATGGCACATAACAAAAAAAAAATAAATCTGTGCTTCAGAAAATTGGCCCATCTTGACAGTAAGCTTCTGGGCCTCTAATCTCTTTACATCAGGAGCTCATTTGTTAGTTCACCTCATTACTCACTGTTGGTTTAAACAGTGTTGTCATAGAGTTAACATTGACACACAGACTCTGTGTGTCATAGTACAACTGTTCTCCATGGGGTTTTCAATCACTGATTTTTTTTTCAGAAATAGATCACCAGACTTTCTTCCAAAGCACCCCTGGATGGAATTGAACATTCAACCTTTCAATTAGCAGTCTTGTGTAGACAATTTGCCCCAGCAGTGACTCTTTCAAGGGTGGTGCAATGTTTGGACCCAGTCCCAGTTACTAGCCTGACCTCTGAAGGCATATGAGTTCACCCCCTGGCTAGAGAGAAGACCTTGAGAATCCAGAGTGAGTTTGGGGCCCACTGAAGCAGAGCACGTATTCTGTGGAGCCGGAAGTGACCAATGAGATTCTGTAGCTGAAATGTGTGCTACTCGGTGGGAAGTTGATCTCTCCCTATGCTGTAATCGCCCTCCATGGTCTTCTTTTTCATGCACATGGAAGTGTTGATAACCAGGGAACCATTCATTTCATTTTACTGAATCCTTGTTTTGGTCCTTTGATTGCCTCTCGGACCTCTCCCAATAGTTTCTTTAGTAGTTTAGATTTTATTTCCCATTTTATTCTATACAATGACTCCTTATTAAATACTAAGTCTGTAAAAATCCAGACTTGAGTCATATTTAAGTATGTTTTTCAAGTGTTTATTGAATGTCAGATATATCCATTACTTAGAATTATTTGAGTTCAGCAAGAGCTTTGAGTAGAATATACTTTTTTAAACCAACTCTAGTTTATGTTTTGAATCAAAACAAAGTAATTTTTGAGTTTTGTCTTCCTCCTCCTCGTTGCTCAAAATTCTGTACATGAGCACATTCATGTCAAATTGAAGTAAATGCCAAGCCATCAGATTATAGCCAAGTTTGTAAACATTTTCTGTGCTAGGTTTTTGACAAATGGCTTCTATTTCCTCTTTCCTTAGTAATAATAAGAATTAATGTATTTAAGAACATTTGCAAAAACCTATATAAAACTGTGTTGTTGTTGTTGTTGCTTTGTACTTTTGAGTCAGAGTCAACTTATAGTTGATCCTCCCGTCAGTTTTCAGAGGCTGTAAACTACACAGAAGGAGACTGCCCATCTTTCTCCTGTGGAACAGCTAGTGGATTCAAACCTCTGGACATGGGGTTGACAGTACAATTCGCTAGTGAATTCAAACCTCCTGACATTGGGTTGGCAGTACAATTCCTTACCCACTAGTGCATCAGGGCTCAAAACTCAAACTCATTGAAGTCAAGTCAGAGCTGACTCATAGCTGAACCTCACTGGGTTTTCAGAGGCTGTAAATCACATGGGAAGAGACTGCTCATCTTTCTTCTATGGAGCAGCTGGTGGATCTGAGCTACTCCCTTTAGGTTGGAAGTACAACTCTTTAATCATCAGGCCACACGAACTCCCTTATATAAAGCTACACTAATGTAATGTACTTTGAGAAGAAAAGCTTTTGTTAATTCTTTTGTACATTCTTAGCATTTAATCTCTTATCTTCTCTAGTGACATTTGGTCTCTTGGCTGTGTCTTATATGAGCTCTGCACACTTAAGCATCCTGTAAGTATGTTCATTATTAGCTTAGGCTTGATTTATTAAAGTCAAATGAATGACATTAATTTCTGGGAGAAAAGTTCAGGTTTTATTTTATTCAATTTATTTAAATTTTGAAAAATATAAATGTAAAAAACAAGATGTAAAATTTCTTATCATTATAATCAGAAGTATGTAAAAGAAACATGACTTTAAAAAGTGCTTGGAGAACAAGGACCTGGGACTAAAATCAAGGACTATAAACTTCATTAGAGAAAATCTTGGAAGAACCCTACAAGTTCTAATCCACAACATGAACAGTCTTCCAAGCATTCTAAAAACCCTACAACCAGGAGAGGATAAAATAGATGAATGGTACCTTTTAAGAATCAAATCCCTATGCACATCCAAAAACTTCTCCAACAGGGTAAAAAGGAAAGCCACAGACTGAGAAAAAATATTTGGTAATGACATGTCAGATAAGGGACTTATATCTAGAATTTGTAGAATTCTCAAGCACCACAACTAGATAAAGGTAAACAACCCAATTGAAAAATGGTCACTGGATATGAACACACACTTTACCAAAGAAGACATTTAGGTGGTGAACAAACACATGAGAAATGTTGAAAATCCCTAGCTCTAAGAGAGATGCAAGTAAAAACAAATATAAGTTATCATCTTACCCCAGAAACAATAGCAAAATTCAATAGAGCAGCAAACAACAAATGCTGGCGAGGTTGTGGAGAAACTGGGAACTCTAATTCACTGTTGGTGGGAGTGTAAAATAGTGTAACCACTGCGGAAGGCGGTATGGTGCTTTCTAGATACCATTTGATGAAGCAATTCCATTACTGGGCATATACCCTCAAGAAACTACAACTGCCACCCAAGCACACCCTTGTTTCTCTCTGCTTTGTTCACAATAACCCAAATGCCCATCAACAAATGAATGGCTAGAGTCGCTGGGGTATATTCACACAATGAAATATTCTGCAGCACTGATAAGCAAAGAACTCATGAAATCTACAAAATGGGTGACCCTGGAGGACATTATGTTGAGTGAAATATCTCACAGTCACAAAAGGACAAATACTTCTTAATGCCACTATTATAAAACAGGACTGACATCGTGTTTGGGGTGTAACTAAGAAAAGAGGAGATAAATAATGTACACTGCATTGAAACAGATGAGGGAAAGAACTGTTTAAAAGGGATAGAAGATTAGGTATTATTTGCATGACAAGAGTCCAGAATAAGAGCTGCATAGTATAGTGGACTGGGGGTCGGGGGAATAACAATGAAAAGTGTTTTTGGATTTTTTTTTTTCTTTTCAAAGAGAAAAGTGAACTTGGGGGAAAGGTGGGCCGGGAGGAAAATGCAATAGTGAATGAATGGAAATCCAAGTTCTCTATAATCTTTCATTAAAATCTCAATAAAAATACTAAAAAAAGGGCTTGTAGGAAATATATCTCTGGTTGTTCTTGTTGTTATATACCATTGAATCAGGACCAACCCATAGCTGAACCGCCGTTGAATTTTCGGACGCAATAAATCGCACAGGAGGAGGATGTTGGTTCTTCTGGGTGCCAGCTGTTAGATTCTAACTATGTGCCTTTGAGATTGCAGAACAGCTGCTTCTTCTTTTTTTAATGGTTTAATTATAAATTCCAATTATTGTTCTTTATATGCTCTTTTTCAACTTTTTGAATACAGTCTTATTTCTTTTTTTAATGCAACATATACATATTTTTACAGCATATTTTTCCATTTTTTCTCTTTCATTCATTGTTGCACATTTTCCTCCCTGCTCACCCACTCCTCAGTTTGTTTTTATCTTTGAAAAGAAAAAAAAATTCTTTCATTGTTATACAATCTCCCCCTCCCCACCAAGTCCACAGTCCACTTTACTATGCATTTCTTTTTCTGGAATCTTATCATGAAAATAATACCTAATCCTATATTCCTTTTAAACAGATCTCTCCCTCACAGGCTACCAGAGCTGCCTAAGGCCACCAGAGTGCAATTATATATATTTCCCTGACTACCATTTCACATACCTTCCAGGTTTGGGTGGATTTTTTGTTTTGTTTTTAAATAATAAGTTACTGTTGTTTTATTATTTTAAGCTATTATTTTTTTTATTCGTTGTTGTACATTTTCTTCCCTGACTTCACCCTTCCCTAGCCCACCCTACAATGCACCCTTTGTTCAAAATTGTTCTCATACATATAATGCATACTCACATATTCCTTTTCCCCCTCATCTTCCCTAATGCCGTGTTCTTTATCTATTCCCTCTTTCCCCATTCTCTTCTCAGTCAGTCCTCACCATGTCTGTCCTATTTTATATCAGCAGTGTTATGCACTATTTGTCCTTTTGTGACTGAGATATTTCCCTCAGCATAATGTCCTCCAGAGTCACTCATGTTGAATAATGCTTTATGAATTCATTGTTTTTCACTGCTGTATAGGGTGGCATTGTGTGAATGTTCTATCGTTTTTCTATCCATCCATTCATTTGTGGATGGGCACTTGAGTTGCTTCTATCACTTTGCTATTGTGAGTAATGTAGAAATAAACATGGGTGTACATACATCTATCTGAGTCGTGGCTCTGATTTCTTTAGAATGTTCCCATTAGAGGAACTGCTGGGTCAAATGATATTTGTATTTCCAACTTTTTGAGGAAGAGCCAGAGTTAATATTGCTTTGATAATAAAAAATGAAAACTTAAGAGACTCTTGCCCTATGTGATATACCTTCTTGTTGAATAGCTTGTTATATTTACTAATGAAATATTAGTGCTTCTGACAGAAGTTTGCAAGCATTTTATTGCCTGACATGTTTTATATTGCCTCATATATTACTTTAAAGACAATATAGCTCTTCTCTGATTTAGTCTCATTATTCTGTATCCTTTCAGTTTGAGGGTAACAACTTGCACCAGTTGATTCTGAAGATTTGCCAAGCTCGTTTTGCTCCAATATCTCCCAGGTTTTCTCATGACCTACAGTCCTTGATGTCACAACTCTTTAAAGTATCACCCCGTGATCGGCCATCTATTAATTCTGTTTTGAAAAGGCCCTTTTTAGAGAATCTGATTGGCAAGTACTTGGCTCCTGAGGTGAGTATTGAGGTGACTCTGTAGCTTTTAACAAAGACTGGCTGTCAGGTCCTTGCTAATAACATGTGGTTTTGGCTTTAGGTCATACAGGAAGAGTTCAACCGCGAGCTCATACACAGAGCAGGAGCTTCTGCTGCACAGCCGCCAGGGAAGACGGTCCCAGGTAAGAAGGACTTAACTAGGCAACTGGAGAGCATTTATCATGGACGCCTCACACAGTGGGTTATGGCTGATGACATTGTGGGAGAAGAATCAACCAAATACATTGAACACTGACTTAAAAAAACACATTTTAATGGTAACTGTTGGATGAATTTGAGAAGTTGTGTGTCTACCTCATCCAGGCCCCGGACGAGCCATCTCCTCTCTTATTAGTCAGGAAACTTCATGAAGCTGTACTAGATGTGCTAGTGAAACACATGTTTGAAGAGTAGAATTCAGACTTATATTTTGGACAGAGAAGGGACAGAGAGTAGGTGCATGTCCACAGACATAGTCCAGATGATGAGAAGGAATCTGGTGGTTTTGTTTTTTGTTTATTTGGGGTTTTTTGGGGGGTGAAATAGAGAAATGCCTGAGAATTAAGAATTCTCTTACAAAGTCCCTCATGGGTTACCCTTTGGAACTGACGTTAGAGTCTTGGACCTGATTAATAACAGTGTAAAAACCATTGCCATATGACTCTTAAAAAAAAAACCCATGTCCCTTTTCAGCAGGAAGTAGCTAAGAGAATACGCCATCCCCTTTTCCTTATGACTCAGGGTGAAGTCTCTCTCAGGGAGGAGTGATAGGGAATGGCAAAGGACACACTGACAAAGGAGATTAATCAGAACTGGCTTTGACAAGCACTGTGGCATTTGGACAAGAACAAACTGGGAGGAGGGTAGAGAGAATAGTGCAACAATGAATGAGTGGAAGCCCAAAATCTCTGTAAATGTTTATGAAAATTAATAAAATATAATTATAGAAAAAAAACCCCACAAACTACCAAAAAACAAAACCGCAGGTAATCCTTTTTTATAATGGTGCTCAGAGAAAACATTTTAACTGTCAGTATCAGGACTCAGCTGATGGAAAGTTGGGGTGTGTGTGGATGTGGGTGCATGTATTCACATGTAAGAGAAAGAAAGGGAGAGAGAGGGAAAAAAAAGAAATACTTAGATTTTGTTCTCTGCCCCACCCCATCCCCAAGCCAGGTGACAGCGCTGGATGAAGGGGGGAAAATTGCTAATTCAATAAAATGTTGTGGAAGTAACAGCAGCAAGATTTAGCAATTAAGCCAAAAGTTTTAAATGTCAGGAAGAAGAGGAATCACTACATTAGTTCAGTGGCAGGGAAATGTTCTCTACAGGGATAGAGACGCTAAAATGGAAGGAGGCTGTAGTGAGAACATGAACAAATCTCTTCATCATGTCTCATTTGATTGGGTATTGTTATAGATCAGTGTAGATTGAGAGAGTTTAGCAAATGGATAGAGGATGAGACAAAGAACCGTGTCCACGGTGCTAACACAGGAGAGATAGGAAAATACTTCACTCAGATAAAGTCAAACATTGAAAGATCAATTAATAACTATGACACTATGACAAAACCTGTCAACTTGAGTTCTATGGACTGACTACGTTGAGATTTATTATCAAGTTTTTTGGAATATATGTATTATACATCTTTAGACATATGTAAAGGTCATTTTCAGCAGTCAAGAAAATATATAGTAATGTTCCATCAGTTTAAATGACCATGACTAGAGGACATTTACTGTGCTGTGAAATGTAGTTTATTGTTCACACTCTCATAAGCACCAGTCTTAAAAGTATAGAAAGTTTGTTGGTGAGAGTGTAAAATGGTGCAACCACTATGGAAGGCTGTATGGCGCTTTCTCAAAAAGTTGCAAACAGAAATACCATTTGAACCAGCAATTCCACTACGGGGAATTTGCCCTAAAGAAACCATAACTTCCACCCAAGTAGATATATGCACACCCATGTTTATTGTGACTTTGTTCACAATAGCAAAGAGCTGGAAATAACCCAAGTTCCCATCACCAAATGAATGGATAGAGAAGCTCTGGTACGTTCACACAATGGAATACTGTGTAGCTTTGAAAAACAAGGAATTCATGAAATATTATTCAAAATGGGTGACCCTGGAGGACATTATGCTCAGTGAAATATCTCACTCAAAAAAGGTCAAAAAGGACAAATATTACATAGGGCCCCTGTTGTAAAACGGGACTGACGTGGGGTTGAGGGAAGACAGAGAAGAAGGGAAGGAATGATGTATACTGCATTGAAACAGATAAGTGATATATGATAGGGTATTATTGTCATGACAGGAGTCCAAAATGAAGGCTGCAAAGTAGAGTGGACTTTGGGGGAGGGATTGCATAACAATAAAAGAGTTTTACTTTTCAAGGATAAGAGTGACTTGGGGAAAGGGGTGGGCAGGGAGAAAAGTGCAACAATGAATGAAAGGAAACCCTAAATCTCTGTCAACTTTCATTAAAATGAATACCCCCCCAAAAAAACACCCCACCCCAAGTCTAACAGGTTTGGTTTGGTTTGTTTGTTTAAAAAAATTGAAGTATTATTTTGATTCAATAAGATCCTAAAAGACAGAAAATGAGATACCGGGAAAAGTGCCCACCAAGACCAAGGCTGCCAATACCAATGAAAAGGAAGCACGTGTTGCCGAGAAGTGAATGGAGACCGCCAAGTGGAGCCCCAAAGCCGCTACCTGTAAGTTATACCGAACCTTCCCTCTGGATCTTTAGCACTTTCCCCTGAGTTGTGCAGAAGGTTAGTATGTTCCCCACTAGTGGAAAGGCTGAAGGTTCAGGTCCACCCAGAGGGGCCTGGGAAGAAAAGACAAGTGGTCTAATTCCAGCTCTCAGCCATTGACAGTCCTGTGGGATACAATTCCACTCTGACACAAATGCACTTGCCCATAGGCAGCTGGTTTGATTTTGTGGTTTATGTTCTGTCAGATCAACCTGCACCATGTCCATTAATTTGTAGTCCACTGGTTTTGTATTTATTGTAATTGTAGTTAAAAAAAAAAGTCACTAACCTCATGCTTCAATGGACTACTTCTGGTGGATATATTTTTTAGCGCATTGCGATTTTCTTATACGTACTTTCTTTATTCATTTTAGTTTATTTCTTTTTCTAACTAAGTCTTCTGTTCCTGTTGGGTGCCACTGAGTACTTTTTTACTCACAGTGTATGACAGAGTAAAACTACTTTCAAGGGGTTTCCAAGTTGTGATCTTTATAGAGGCAGATTTCCAGGTCTTATCTCCATGGAGTTGGTGAGTAGGTTTGAACCACCAACCTTTGGGTTAGTAATCTAGTGACTTACGCATTGTGCCACCAGTACTCCATTGAAAGTCTTCTAGTTTCTTTAAAGAAATAAGGTTTCTGGCAGGGAAATCATACGGCTGCACAATTTGACGGGTTTGAAGAAAGGTAGGTAAAGGAAATTGGAAAGATCCAGTAGGGATCTCTTGGAAAGACAGGGTAAGGGTGGGCACGGTTCAATGTTGGTTAATTTTATAAAATACAATGAACGGGAATGATTGTATGAAAATCAATGTATACATACTTTGTAAGCAAAACAATATAAAATTTATCTTAAAAATATCAAGAAGTAAAATTTTTCTATATAATGAAGCAAATGGCACAGGTGGGGAAGACATTGTGCCTTTCATATTCTTAATTCTCATGTGTACATACACCTAGAAGTTTTTATTGTGTAATAATTCATCTTTTCCTAAGGTTTTGTGTTTTGTGGTTTGTTGGGGTTTTTTTTCCTTTTCTTTTCAGGTCAGTAAAGTTAAGCAACTGAGGGTTGTATACCCACATAAATTACACTAATGTTTGTTAGGCTAAAAATAAAAACGGAGGTTGAAGCTCAAAAATCCTATATGAGGATATTTTCCCAAACCAGAACTCAGAAAATCCTACGTCAGGACATTTTCTGAAACCAGAAAATCCTATGTCAGGACATTCCCCAGAACCAGTTTCCTGAGACCAGAAACTTTATGCCCCAGTGAGCCACTGCACGGACCCCACATAAACCCCCTAGCCCAACCTTGCTGAGTAGCCTGGCACACAATAAACTCTGAGAAATGTTTCTACGTCTGCGTGGTCCTTGGCTTCTATCCGAAACCTTTCAACGTTAATAGTTTCTGGTAACCTACTACCATTGGACCAGCCTTCCAAGGGCTTTTTAATGCTCAGCTATTTTAATCCATTCCCAGGGATGTTGACTACTTTAATTCATGTTAGTGAAATGCTTCTACCATTGTTATTATCACATGCCATTGTGTTGGCACTCACCCATAGTGAAATGGAGACTTCATGGGTTTCATTGGCTGTAACTCAAATGGGATGAGATTATCCATCTTTCTCCTGTGGAGCAGCTGATGGATTCCAACTGTCTGCCTTTGGGTGGGCAGTGAAACTCCTTATAAAAATGACAGAGTGACTATTGTCTTTTAATTGAAGGGTTGAATTTTTCAAAGGTGGTGAGGTGTGGCCACTGTAGATTGTAATGATGTTATGTCCATCACAGCTGTTTTCTACGGAGCAATGATTCTGAATGACTCAGCAACATCTTCAAGTCATGATGCTAGTTTACATTTAATCAAATTATTAGGAACAAAAAAAATTATTAGGAACAAAAAAGATTGCAGATTTTTAAATTTACGAATTGCACAATAGCATTTACTCTTCCATAAAGTGCAGTGATGTTTAAAAATGTTCTTATTTAAAAAAAATCAAACGAACAATAATTCTGAGCTCTCTCAAATGATAGAACAGAAAGAAGACCTTTAGGGAGCTCTGGTGGCCTAGTGGCAAGATGCTGCACTGCAATCCCAGAGGTGCGTGGTTCAAATCCACCAGATGCTCTGCTGGAGAAGGAGGGAGCAATCTCCTCCTGTACCAGTCAGATCTGATTTGACGTTACA